CTAGCATAGTTGCTCTTTAGACGGACTGTTTCAATTTGAATATAAAATTCTATATTTACATTCTATCTAATTTCATTTCTCCTTTAATATTTTATCTCCTAATATCTTATATTTTTACCATAATTGTTTGCTTTCCATTTTATTATTTAATACATCCAATAAGCTTATAAAAATGGTGTAGTTCTGTGGTCTCATCATTTTGATCGAACAAATTTTAAATTTTTAGGCTATTCATATTTATTTCAAATTTATCATAGCTTTGTATACATCAATTTGATTGTATGTTTTAAAAGTTCAATTTCAATCCCACATAGATCATTAGTCTGCAGGATTAATTATGTCTATGCATAATGGTCTATTCACTACTTTCTTAATGCTCCAGGGCTAATGATGTTTGCTATCAAATTGTATGGCCACAACTCATTCTAAGACCTGAATGATTGTTGCTTCAGAGACATCACCATTCTTAATGTTTTATATTTAATGCCAAACATGAAAATTTCGTCTTCTGAAATGTTTCAAGCATTTAAGTAAATGTAAAAATCATCAAAGTATATCATTTTGAAAACACCAACAGTATATAAAAATTAATTTTTGAGGAGAAAAAATAGTCGAAATATATCTGAGAAGCGAACAAGAAACAAATCCCTATCGGTGAATTGATCATGAAAATTTTCAAATCCATTTCAAATAAATGCATTCTAAGAATCGATCCTAAATGACAATCAACAGAAATGTGCCAAAATATATTCCTTTAATATAGGGAGAATAGTCCAGAGAACATAGAGATTAAATATAAACCATACAGTTCCTTCTTTTGATATCGGTCTAAATGCTTAAGATAAAGTTGAAAAGTCAACACATTGATTAGAATGCATCAAAATGATTCTGTGAAAGGCAATAAAAGTACCCAATAAATTAGAGAGGTCATGCCAAGATAATTCTCTGTTTATTATATTTCATCTAAAATTTAGATTTAAATTTGAACATCAAAAGTCTATTTTTAATACACTCAGGAGAATTTTAAAGAAGCTTGGTTGGCAATATGCTTACAGCAGCATGCTAATAATAGACAACATTGGTTTCTATAAAGCATTAAATCACAGAAATTATTCGCACAAGATTTAGAGTTTTGTGTCATCATTACACTTGTGATTTTTAAATGTAATCAAAAAAAATTTTTTCAAGATGGCATGAGACGGGCAATACAAAAAAGTTAAACCAATCGTTTATGCTGCTATTTAGATGCTTATATTTTTATGGTGCATCACAAGGTATAATTAATTCTATTCAACTGTCTTGAATATGAGTTTATATGACAAAAGGCTGATTGAATTGATCAAAAATTTTAACATACTATCAATATTTAGTTTCTATTTAAAAATATTTAAATAACACAGCTATTATAATGCCGACATTGACGTATCTACTATTTAATGTTCATTATAAAAATAAAATTGCTTGTCGTAATATTAAAATAGATATAATGAGGCTTAAATTGTATTGATTAAATTTAATCTATAATTACTATGCATAAATATATTGATGGTGTGTTGATTGCATTTCGTGGGTTGATATTATCTAATATCCATTTTAAACAGAAATATTACAATATCATGTGCTTTCTAGAGTAAGCTCCTCGCATTTTAAAGTATATAATTTGAAGTTGCTCCACTAAAATTTTTTCATTTCTATACAATTTTAACACGATTTATAGAGAATACCTGATTATTATTCCACTAGAACATTAATTATAGTGACAATCTCTATTTAATAAACATCTTGCTACTTACCATCATAATTAGATGTTATTTGTTGAGTTTTCAGATATTTATGACATCTTTTATTAATACCTTCTCAAAGTGCAATCTTGACGCCTAATAACTTTGTACCTTCTAATCAATTCATTCATGGTAAGAATCCAACAATGATAACTATAATCCCCAATTACGATCCATATTTGTTTTCAAAATATTCTAATACACCTGTTATGATACTATAACTTCTATTTGCAAAATTTGCTCATATTCCTTTGCTTTTTGAACAATTTTAATAGCTCTACGAATAACTTCCACATTCCTTTGTTCTCTTTCGATTGATTTTTTTATTTAGGCATCTATTTCTATTTATTATAGGCTAGTTGACTGTTTTATCTCAACTATATTCAACAACTAATTATAAAATAAGGTAGATTAGATTTCAA